GGGGTGAAACAATGAGTGAGGACTTGGCTGTGAAGAACTGTGACATGGTGTGAGAGCAGGACAGACGTGATTCATGACAATTGTACGCATTTTCCTGAAATTAAGAACAAAAGAATCAGAAGAGAAATACAAGAAATATAAAAACAAGTTGGCATGGATTATAAGAAAATATAAGAAAGAATATTTCAGTGATTTATTAGATAAAAGTAAAAGTTATATGAAGTTAGCATGGAGAGTAATGAATGGTGTTTTGAAAAATAAAGTAAAATCAAGTATTTTACAATATTTTGTTAAGGATGACAATGAAATTTATGATCAGAATGAAATAATAAATGGATTTAATAATTTTTTGGTGAAAGTTGGTCTAACTCTTGCAGCTAAAAACCAAAAGTAGATAAAAATGTGAGTCATTCAGTCATGAGTTGTAGCAGCAGTAATTCTCCTGATGGAACTGGTAAAGAAGAAATAATGAATATTGTAAAACATCTTGCAGATAAAAGATCAAAAGACTGGGTGGACATGGGTATGATGTTTGTGAAGGAAATAATGAGTTGTGTTATTGAGCCTTTTACATATATCTGTAATTTATCTTTTTCATCAGGAACATTTCCAAACAACATGAAAACAGCCAAGGTAATACATCTCTATAAGAATGGTGAGAAACATGTTTACAAACTATAGACCAATATCATTGTTGCCACAGTTTTTGAAAATTTTGGAAAAGTTGTTTGTGACAAGATTAGATAAATTTACTGATAAACAAACTATTTTAAGTAAAAACCAATATGGCTTTAGGGCTAATAATTTCACATCAATGGCTCTCGTGGACTTAGCTGAACAAATAATAACAGCAGTTGATCATAAACAATACTGTGTTAGTGTTTGTGTTGATTTAAAGAAAACATTTGACGCCACTGATCACAGTATTCTTCTTGAAAAGTTAAATAAAATGGCATTAGAGGACCAGCAGTGGGTATGTAGTTACTTGAAAGACAGGAAGCAGTTTGTACAAATAAATGATTTAAGTTCTGAACTTTGTAATTTAATACATCATGTGGAGTTCCACAGGGTTCTGTACTTGGACCAAAGTTGTTTCTTTTGTATGTAAATGATTTGGTAAATGTGTCAGGGTTGTTGAAATGTGTTTTATTTGCAGAAGATACCACATTTTTTGTTTTGGTAAAGACATAGAACGTCTGATGAAAATCATACAAACAGAATTTGTAAAAATACAAACTTGGTTTCAACTTAATAAATTATCGTTAAATTTGGACAAAATTAATTATATGATATTCAGTAATAAAAAGAAAACTATCAATATTTCATTTGGAGTCGAGGGTGTTGAGATC